GGCCCCGTTTGAGTAATATATTTTTAAACTTTTAGTTCAAAAACTAAACAGCCTACAGTATTTTTACAGTCTTTATTTTACAGTTAAAATATATGTTTATTAAATAAAGTCTAATGTTACAACTAATCGGGGATCCCTTTAAAAGTTTTTTTCTTTCTTAACATAGGTCAGCTTATTTAGCTATTTTACTAYGACTGACAGGAGAGGAACAGTTGCAGCAACATTTATATATAAACGGACCACAAAAAGTTAGTATTAAGACATTATTATAGTTTATTCTGAAATAGATATTGAGGTGTTCATGACAATCTTATTGTTTGATATGTGTGATATGCATTTTCTACAGTTTTGGTTTTCCACAATGGTTTTTGAATCTGTTTTCTTCAATGTAAATTTTTCATAATTGTGAGGCAAAACAAAAGTTAACTGCCTCATAAACTGTTCCATTCATCCTGTCACTGAAAGCTAACTTTATTCATATCAGTTTGAATCCTTGACATCTGTATATGACACATCTAGACAAATCTGTAATTGTCATTTGATCAAAAAGAATAAAGAAATACTACCATAATATAACTTACTGTTTTTATTAATTTTGCAATATTTTACATATGTAATAAAACTTTCACAAACAGTGAAATATAGTGTATTAATAAAACGCTGTAACCATTCCCAAACAATGTTGCAACTGTCTAAGGGCTGGGGGTCAGTTGCAACATCCGACTCTTAGCATTTAAATGCAAACTGTGAAAAACTTGTACATTTTTTAAATCATCTTTAAATGTTTTTTTGACTATGAACATAAATTTAAGTTTATCGTTTAAAAACTTGGCTTGTCTAATCCGAATTATCTCTGTGTAACAGAGTCAAATGCAAAAAGTGTTGCAACAAACCAAGTTAGTCATTTTTAAGTTTTGTTTCCATTCATCCATCATTATGCTTCTTCCTTTCAGGGTCACGGGGGGTCACTGGTGCCCAGATCAGCAGTCACTGTGAGAGGGTACACCACAGGTTTGTGTTTGCTGTTTTGCTTTATTCCTTTTATTGCTGTTCTTTTTTTTGTTTTGTTTTTTTAAGATTCCTTGTTTTGTTTCCCAGTGTCTCCATGTGTTATCAGCCACTTTTTTCCTCTTCGTTTTTTGTAAATAAAATCCAAATTTCAGTCTGCGCTTTTGGGTTAATCCTAAACCACTATCAGACAAATGACTGTGGCCGCCATCTTGAACCATGCTGACTCCCAATGGTAATCAGTCAGTACTTTCCTTGAATTTATCAAGTGGTTCGTGAAATATTTTGCGAACAGACAAAAGCAAAATCATCACGTTGTCTATCTTTGCCTTTGAACTATGGGTGACAAAAATACAGCCTTATACTGGTTGTTTTTCCATTCATATTCTTGCAGCAGCCAACATGCTCTCCTCCCTACCTGGTGGTTAAATGCTGGTAATTACATTCACTTAACATTCCAGTTGTAAATCAGCTGTTGATTAGATGGCCAGAACAGAAATCAACATGGCTCTCTCTGGTGTGATACAAATAGATGAAATCAATGTCTTTTTTTTTTTTTTTTTTTTTTTGCTTGCCTAACCACTTTTCCATGAGCACAATAAAGTGGTGTGATGTGCTCCAGAAAGTAAAGCTAAAAGAAACAATTCTATAAAGTTAGAACCCTGACAGCTGCTGTGTAAAGAGGATAAGACTCTGTTACAGACAAACACAAGTGTAAACAATGATTTAATTATACATGAATCCTATTAAGCTGATGCCTTTTTAACATTCAGATAGCTCAACTTTATCTGGGCTACATTAGATAGTAGACGTGCAATTAACTGAGACAGGACGCTTTAATCCACATGAGGTGAACTTTCTACAAAACACTCGTTTTTGAATAAAGAGATAAAATTCTAAGTTAGCCCTGTTCTGTGCATGCTAACATAGCTGTATGCTAGGTGCTTTCAGGCTAGCTGTTAGCTTGTCAGTCTGTCATGTTAGTATTGAAAGAATATTTTGGCCCTTTTCAGTTTATTTATGTATTTGTTTGTTTATTGTCCATCCATCCTTTTATCTATACCCGTTTCTTCCTTTCAGTGTCACGGGGGTCACTGGTGACCAGATCCAGGGGCGGGGTACACCCTGGACAGGTCACAAGTCCAACACAGAGACAACAACATGATAATTACAAGTGTATTGATTAAGATGCACAAAAACACTGGTTTGTGATTGTTTATTACATTATTATTTCTATAATGAGCGACCACCACATTTTGCAACAATCGCCGCAAAATGCAATAATGTTATTACATAATGTAGCCATGAGTGTTACAAAATGCGATGAAGACTTTTATTACATTTTACATCAATTATTACATAATGTGGTTTAGTGTGGTTTTATTATTACATGATGCGGCGTTATTACATTATGCCACAAAAAATACTATTCTTGTGTTTAATTCTTGAGTCCACCATTAGCCAATAGCTTTCCTAAATCAGGAACAATATAATTTACAACATCAGCTTCATTTTTTTGCACTCTTACTGTGTTTTTCATCATTACAAGTAGGATTACTTTCTCATCAAAAGCGTTGACTTGTACTGCTGAGGAAGGCACAGGTGGAAGTAATGAGTCAGTTTATCTCTGTAAGCTGCTACAGTGAACCAGCCGACACAAAGAGCCAACCTGCTCTTGTGGAAAGTAGCCATCATTAATCCATCTATACTTTACGCCCCTGGAGGGAAATCAACATCCCTCCAGTCCTGCAGCACAACAGCATACAGTAACCTGCAGGGAGACATCAGGGGCAGGTTCTACAAAAGATACTTTCACAACTGTATTCAAGAAATATTCTGCAAAATGAAAAGGTTCACTCATCTTTAACTAAGTGAAACAATTGAACATGAATTCCATTTTTATTTATTTTTGTGTGTAACATACTTGTTTACAGTATTCAGGTAATTGCTTGTGTGTGTGGGGATTCATTTCCCTATTTATTTATTATTTTTTTAATATCTCATCAACACCTTTTAATGAAACACTCAGAAAGTAATAATTGGATGTTCATGATGTTCAAGTTGATCAAGTTTTGGAGGCAACAGCGTTTAAGATTGACACTACAGCCAATCGACCCAAACCAACACAAAAAAGACTTTATCCTGAGCAGTTTTATAGTTTTTAGACTAAAATTTGTAATGGTACAAGATGAGAGTCATTTCCAATTAGTGGTGCCTCCAGAAATGTTTTAATGGAGGGGGTCATGTGTGGGCCACTGGAAATTCTGTGGTGGCACCAAAACCAAAAACCACAAAAGAATTTAAGGACAGGAAATTTGTTATGCTTGATGTTCTGACATGTAGTGAATAGGTGTACTTTAGTTTATTATTATTATTATTATTATTATTATTATTATTATTATTATTATTATTATTATTATTATTATTATTCTACTCAGTATATTTACTGAGTAGACATTTGTATTCATGAAAAAAAAAACTCAAATAAAAAAAATTGTCTGGCCCAGTTCTGAACTTCTGGCCCTCATAATACATTAACACTTGTCCCAAATGCCACAAAGAATGATGGCCTTTTAGTGGTCCAGAGGTGGTCCATGTATGGGCCAGCAGCACCACATAAACCAAATTACAACCAGGCCTGTTGTGACACTGGCAGGTTTGGGCCACATAAACTAAACCACAACTGGACCAATGATCACTGCCAGACCTGACCCACATCTGGTTGATAAACCAGTGTCAGACAACATTGACAACTTTACACCAGATCTGGACCACACCTCTCTGATATGTGGGATGTCTAGGACCACTTGAGACATTCATCCTGATAGGACAATGGCTCTATGGTTTCCTTATTCAGGGGTCCTGGATTTTAGGTTTTATTTTAAATAAAATATATATTTGTATTTTTTAATTCCTAATTGCTTAAAATTATTTTTGTTTGTTTATGATGTTCTACTAATCCTAAATAGCTAGAGGAAAATAAAAATGCACAAGCAAAAGTTTGGGATTGAAGAGGACAAAAATGTTTGGGTAAGAGGGGCCAGTGGGGGACCATCATTTTATGTAGGGGTGGCCATCACACCCCCTGGCCCCCGTTGGTGATGCCCCTGTCTGGTATGCAAGGTGGCAG